GTGGGCATATATGGCATTTTAAGAGCATGTTGTGAGAATTCACAAAACTCCATTCACCAGAAGGCAAACAGGAGAAGTTGCTTTGTGTTCTCCCCCCAAGACTCTCTCATGACCAGTTTATTTCAGAATTGTGGGCGGGAGGGAATATTTCCAAATAAACCTTAGGCTATACCATTTTTTAAATTTTCTAAGAAAGCATATGGACCTATTTTGGAGTCTGAGATCTGTATTCTTGGAAACAAAGATGCAGTATGCCATCTTCCTGTTTTAAAAGAACCACCCACAAATTAAAGTCACATGGAACCAGGGGAGGTGCTGGGGAAATATCTGTCAGCATATTGGTTCCTGTGGTGCATCAAAAGTTTGACTGTGTAAATTCAATAACAAATTTGCTATTATTGGTGGTTTAGATTTGAAGGGAAAAGGATGTTCTGGAGTATGTGTGGGTGGACACGAGGCACCTGTCACCAGTTCCTTAAACCAGAGGATCTTTTTCTGGGATCATGCTGCAGCTGAGTAATCTTGAAAAAACATACAAGCATTTAAGGGGCTGCCAACAGGTGCTATGTGAACACCCCCATGTGCTCTGAAGCACCTTCTCCCTTTCAAATCCAAAGCACTGCACAGCCCTAAGAAGGGAAGCCCTTTTTTTAGGTGGGTGGGCGGCATATGATTGCTTCCTATACAGTCTTTTCACGAAATGTGAAATAATGTCTTTGGCACAGACCAACTCTCCAGGAGAGTGAGCATTTCCTTTTGCCCATGATAAATGACTGAAGCCAACAGTAGGTGACACAGAATGTCCAGTGCCACATGCTGCACAAGCAGGAGCATAAAGAAATCAAAAACTGCATTCTTTTTAGCAAGTCAACACAAATAAATGGGTGGATATTACACTTACATTCAGTAATAAATGTCATTCTAATTTGCATCACGCCTGCTGTTTCAAGTTTGCATGGAGTGGGATTGAAGGAGCTGGGTATGTTTAGCCTTAAAATGAAAAGACTGAGGTGGGGATATGATTTTTTTTTTTTAATCTGTTCAATTGTGTTCAGTTCTTGGAGACTGCCTGGACACAAGTCCCTGCAGTTTTCTTGGCAAGATTTTTCAGAAGTGGTTTGCCACTGCCTCCTTCCAAGGGCTGAGAGAAAGTGACTGGCCCAAGGTCACCCAGCTGGCTTTGTGCCTAGGTGGGACTAGAATCCATGGTCTCGCAGTTTCTATCCTGATGCCTGAACCACTATACCAAACTGGCTCTCGGGGATACGATAGCATTCTTCAAATGCCTGAAAGAATGCCACACAGAAGAACATCAAGACCTGTTCTTGAATACAGGATCTGGAGCAATGGACCAGACTTACCAGAACACCAATTCTAGTTGAATCAAACTTCCTAAAAGTAAGAGTAGCTCGACAGTGGAACCAATTTCCCAGAGAAGTGGTTAAGGTCCCCTTCACTGGATATGTCCAAGCAGATGTCAGAGAGCCACCTGTGGGGATGTTTTAATTTGGTTCCTTAAACTGAGCAGGTGGTTGGGCTTACTGGCTTGAATGGCCCTTTCCAAATTTGTGTTTTGAGGATTCTGCTTTCATCTTAGAGAAGATGAAAGTCTATATGGTCACTAAGAGTTTACACGAATTTGATGGAACATCATCAATCAATCAATCAATCAATCAATCAATCAATCAAAATGATTCTGCCTCCACTTCACTGTACCTCTTATTTGGATTACACTGGCGTGCTCTATCTAGCTAGAGATGATACACAGTGTAATAATTTAGTCATAGTACTTTCTTCGGGGGTTCTATTTATGGACCAGGAAGAGGTCTATCCTTTAAAAACAACCCCACCCAACGTAGGGCTTTGGAATGAGACTTGGGTGAGAAAACACAGCATTCATATCCTGGGGTCTTTCCTCCCAGATGAGCTGAAGTTCTATCCACTACTGTAGCATAAAATGTCCTGTTCCATTGGCGCTCCCTGTCTGCCTCTACTCCTCTGCTCCCAATCACTGCCAGACCTCTTGATTTCCTTCCAAGGTGAGGGGTAACAATGTCTATAAGACTTTATACCTCTGGATGCTGCCTTTGGACAGTGTCATAATAAGAGTGGAAAATGTAATTTTAATATAGGTAAAGCTAAGTGATTGAAGTTTGTCTCACTCACAGGTTGGGGAAGAGATGGAGATGGCAGAAGAAAATGTTGCCAGGGCAGGTTTGTGCCAAGGTTGCAGGCAAGTGGGGAAAAGTCCTCAGTCCTGAAATAGACAGGATGCCAGGGCCGGTCCAAGGAAATGGGTGAGATGGCACTCCTTTCTCATTCTGTGTAAAGAAAATGCCTGGACAACAACTGATCTATTTTTTAACACTTGTAGGAGCAAAGCTGTGTTAATCAATGGTCAATGGCAAAAAAGGAGGTGTTTGGTAACATCTTCTCCGACTAACAAATTTTATGACAAGGCATAAGCTTTCATCAGCTGCAGCTCGCTTCATCCTAGACTGATGTAGGATTTAAATGGGGGGGGGAGATAGGTTAGTTATGCAGATGCAGGTGACATGTGAGACAGATTACAAGTATCTTATCAATTAACAATCGTCATGTGTTAACAACCCTTTCCATATGCTTTTAATAAAATATATTAATCAGAAAAGGTGCTACTAGACTCCTAACACTGGTGACTGAAGAATGGCGTCTGAAACACCTGAGCCAGCATGCTGATCAAAGCTGCCCCAGGAAGTTTTACAACCCACACAGTTTTGTCCTCTAATAAAGGTGCCATCCCAACCAGGACCATTGCAGGTCAATGGGGCCACCTCTCTCAGACTGTGCTGCCTAAGACAAGTGTCTGAGGCTGCCAACGCTCAAGCCAGCCCTCACAGAGTTACTGGAAGGATAAAAGAGGAAAACCCCAAGGATGTCAACTGGAAATTCTTGAGAAAAAGGCAGGGTTTGGGCAGGGGTCCAAGACAGGATTAAAAGGGAAAGGAGAAAGCACCATCTCTTCTTCCCAACATCCAGATGCAATAAAGCAGCTTATTCAAATATTTGTCTAGCAGAGGCTGTGTTTCCCAACATGCTATTTATTTATTTATTTATTTTCAGCAGCATGGAGTCACTTAAAATTATAATGAAATAGGCTGTGATTTACAACAGTTGCTTCTGCTGAGATTGTGCAGGCAAGCAGAGGGACCAGAAGGTTACGTTTCTCCAGGGCCAAGAAAGACAGTTCTACATGACTTTAACTCTGCATAGATATGAATACATAAGAGGAGATGTGTGTGAGGTCCATAGGACTTGTTACAGCATCAGATGTTTACAAGGCTCTCTCAGGGTTGCAATATGAGACTCTTAAACAGGGTCAGTGAAGAAAGCCTGACACAAAGCTGCATGTCAAATGCCTCCAAGCCACACACACAATGTCCTGTTTAGCCCAAGCAAAAATGGATGTCAGTGCCTCCAAGCCAAATCGCTCCCAAGCATGCCCTCTAAAAAATTAAACGTTCCATGAAAAATTCTCTTCAGCTAGTGAATTATAAGGGGAAGGACCATTTACACCGAGAAGGGCTTCCCACCGTTCAAATAAAAAATAACGCCCGGAGGACAATGCTCTTCCGTTCTTCTTCAAGAGGTTATCCTAAATTTGAAACCGGCCATCTAAGTCTCCAAAAAGCCTTGGTATTCCAAGAACAGCGCCGCGCTCCTCAACCGTCAGCTTCTGCACGTTTGATCTGCCGGAGATCAGGCTACCTCTGCTTTGTGATTTCTCGAAGGAAAGACGGTCAACTTTTCACACGAAGCGGGCATTCCACAAACCTGATCTCCCTTCCCGCCCGTCTCCCGGCTCGGGGGAGCCACTAAGCAGGAGCGCACGCGGCGGGCAGGTATCAGACGGGGGAGCGAGGCGGAGAATCTCGAAAAAGGGGTTTCTCCCGCCTCTCTCCAACACCCCCACCCCTCGTTCCGCTAAGCAGGGAGAAACAGAGCGATAATGATGGTGGTGATGGTGGTGATGGTGGTGACATGATGATATTCAGTTATTAAAGCCTGGGGTAGATTATGCAGCCCAGCATCCCCAGCCAGCAACAAGGTGAGCAAAACTATCCGAGAAGGAGTCGGAGGCAAACTCCAAAGGAGGGGAGATTGGCAAACGGCAGGCAGATGCGAGCCGGGGTACGCCAAGTTTAGTCAAATTTAACCTAGGATACAGTCCGTCGGCTCCCTTCCTCTCAACAACCTACTTTACCTCTCCCAATATCAAGTTCCTGTCCTTGAATCCACGGAGACGATTCAAGAAAATCGAGATCCAGGGATGTCAACCGGAAAGTACTGAGGAAAAGTCAAGGTCTGGGGTAGAATAAGCAACGATGGGGAAAGGGGGGGGGGATCCAGCACCCCTATTAGGACCAACCTCCTTTATTTGGACCAACCGAAATGCGCCAGCTTTCAACTTCTCCAGAATCAATCAGATGAAACAATAATGAATAAAACCGGCGGAAGACACGCAAGGGCTAGAGCTTCTGAGCACGTGCAAAGGGCCTTCTCCCCCCTCTCCGGGGAACGAGCCCAAGCAGCTCCTTCAGGTGTCGCGCCGCCCTCAGACACAGAGCTGCCCCACCGAGCAGGGAGGAGGCTCCGAGGCCCTCCGCCTGGACTTCAGGGCA